GACAAAAGAAATTCCAGGCTGAGTTACTCGGCTGAATGAGCTCTACTTCCTGCTCAATTCAAGACATTCCACAGTACATTATCTCCTGCTAGAGCCCAAAGGTACTCCATTTCCTCTGCAATATTACGCCACTGATTACCAAAGTAGATAAACTGTTGATAGGCCAAGATCCTAACAGTAATTACATCATGTTTTATAGTACATAATCCTTGAGAAAATGATGAGAAGCTGGATGAAAGTGTGCATCAATCAAATGTAACAAACCCAATTATTGTCACCCCTCCCTCCTTTTTCCTCACTGCTCACAGCCATCACACAGCTCCCCATGACTCAATCCTGATATGGCAATTACAGCTGCAGAGAGTCTTTGCTAATAACTGCAATCCAATCACTTCACAGCGTGTGCGGAAGGAAAGAAGGACCAAGATAAATAATGACAACTCGCAATTTACTTGATATTGTTATTTTTACGCTTCTCTCCTGAATAACAGGATCCTCACTGGCTGTCATTTCGCTCAGATCTCAGGTTCCTTCTTTGGTCATGCCTTCTGCAAGACGAGGAGCCTCTGACCCTGCTTTGCATTCAGACAAATGCTTAAAAATGTTCACTTATAAAACACAGCAGGTCCCTAAATCAATCAGCAGCATTCATGGTTCAAATTTAATGATTAAAACATATTTGAAATCTTTATGTGCATTTTTAGCCAAACATATTTTGATAATAAATATCCAATTTAAAACAATTGCATTCATATCATAACATGCTGATGGTGTTGGATATGAAGGTTAGACTTTAGTTTACCTGCTGAGGAAAAGCTAACGAGATTTATGAGTCGCCAAGATTTGCTGATTAACTGCAGACGTGGTGCTGAGAGCCTCATGTATTCAGTTGGCAGAGCAGAAATGAACAAAACGTGATTCTGAAGTTGATGCAGAATAGAACACAATAAAGTAGAACAGAACAGAATAGAATTAAACAGATATAAAAAAAAGAATTAGATAGAATATAATAAAATAAAACAAAAAAATGCAATATAATAAAGTACAATTGAATAGAAAAAAATAGAATAAATAGAAAAGAATAGAAAAAAATTAAATAGAATAGAATAAAATAGAATTGAAAAAATAAAATAGATTATAATAAAATAAAACAGACTAGAATAAAATAGAATAGAACATTGGGGAGATTTTAGGTGTACAAACAGAGAAAGGACAGGTTGACCAAAGCCTGTAGATTCAGTTAAATGTAAATATATACAAAGAAATTGACACTATAGAAAACAACACTCTACAGGTATTAAAATCATGTATGGAGATTCAAAGAAATGTGTAACTCATCCCTTCCCAGGTCAGGTCTTCTGGAAAGGGAAGCTCTTCCAGTTTGACATTTTCCTCTCCACTGTCGCTACAAGCATGCTTAGTGTGAGGGATTGCTGAAGAGTCAATGAGTCGATGCAATCAGCTGGTTTTCCTTAGATAGAAATTCCGTAAAAGTTTTAAAAAAAATTGTAAAAATAATCCTCTGGATTTGGTTTCCAAGGTTTGAAGACGTTTCGCTTCCCGTCCAGGAAGCTTTCTCGATTCAAATGTCTTGATTCATATTGAGTTTGAGGCTTTATATAGACAAGGCCTTGTGTTGCTTGGAAACATGCAAATTGAAACTGACGAGCGGGTCGTTCGGTTCCATTGTTAGCCTGTAATATTTAAAACCTGTCTATGATTCTGAAGGTCGGTCGTTAAAGAAGGGATTGTTCACCTGGTTGGAGCGGGGAGGTACTTTGTTCCTCTGTGATGGGCTGGGGAGTGTGGTGATACCTAGAAGGGATCATCTCAATCACTGAATTGTAGGTTTTTGGAAGCTGGAATCTGAGTCCACCACCTCTGTTTAAGGTTAATTTTTCTGTCTTAACATAGATGCTTCCTTCCTCTCAAACCACCTAGTTTCTTTATCCAAAATGTGAACATTCTGGTCCTCTAAAGAATGTCCTTTGTCCGTAAGATGTAGGTGTACTGCAGAGTCTTGTCTAGAGGAGGGCACTCTTCTGTGTTGGGCCATGCGTCTGTGGAGAGGTTGTTTGGTTTCTCCAATATAAAGATCAGAGCATTCCTCACTGCACTGAACAGCATAAACCACTCTGCTCAGATTAGGTCTGGGGTTTTATTTGTTTAAGGGTTTGGTTTGAAATGTTCTGGGATTTTGTGTTTGGAGAAAATCCTCTTGAGTTTTTCCAGCAACATAAGGGATTGTGATGTTTTAATTTTCTCACCACCATCTTCTGCTGCGTGTCTTTTGGATTTCCATGCTGATTTGATAAACGTCCACTAATGCTGCGTTCACACCGGGGGCAGCTGGCGCGACAGAAGCAGCGAGTTTACATGCAAAGTCAATGGTTGACGCGCGTCAAGGCGCAGCAAAAGGTCCCGCGGCGCGTTTCGAGCAGCAAGCGCAGCGCGTCTGAGCAGCTGAAGCAGCGCGTCGGGCGCGTTTTGGCATCTGACGCGCGTGACGCGCCGCAAACGCGTTGCTGCTCGAGATGGAAAAATTGAATTTTTGCTGCTCGACGCGCCGCGTCAACCAATCAGAGAAGCTGATCTGGGAGCTGGCAGGGAGAGAGACACAGCGCTGATGACACAGACCGCTCTGATTACTCCTCTTAAACAGTTTATTAACGCATAATTAACTTAAAATATATACATCTGCCGGCAGAATATGTTGGCTTTTATTATTGTGGTGCCTGCAGATCGGATTATTTAGATGAAAAACACCTACCAGCCGCCGCGGTAAACCGCGAGGAGGCGACCCGGCCAGAGGCTGCTGTTGAAGGGATTCCTTCTGTCGGCGCACCGCTGGTATGTGGGGGTCTGAGCGGCTCCGACAGAAAAAATTTGGAAGGCAGGAGAATAATCTGGATGAACTGACTGCACTGATTAAGTTTTCAGGTGGACTTTCTCACTTAAAAACATATTAAAACTACTTTATTCCCACTGATCACAGCAAATATAGCTGCAAGGCAGAGAAAGGATAGTGAAGCTCCGCCCAACGCGCGTCAGAGCCACTTTTGGACCGCGCAGGCAGAGCAGCAAAGCTGCTTCAGACGCGCGTCAGAACTAACTGGTACAAGCAGCAAAAATGAAGCAGCAGACGCGATTTTGCTGCTTTTGCTGCCCCCGGTGTGAACGCAGCATTAGACTAAAAACTTTTAAATCAATCTGACTGGATGATCTGGTAAACTGTAAAGTGCACTGAGATGACGCGTTGTGAATTGGCGCCATAAAATTAAACTGAATAACTTAATAAAAACTGAACATTATTGATCTCACATTGGAGAAATTTACCTCTGGAGCAGTGGGCTGCCATTGTGCGGCGCCCGGGGAGCAGTGTGGGGTTAGAGGTCTTTGCTCAGAGACCCAGAGTGGCAGTCTGTGGGAGTGGGGCTCAAACTCATAACCTCAGGATTCCAAGCTCTATGCCCTAACCACTAGGCCGCCACGCCCGGCCTAGTGTGAATTAACCCCCACACTGCCCCCCGGGCGCCGCACAATGGCAGCCCACTGCTCCCCAAGGGGGTTGGGTTAAATGCAGAAAGTTCATTTCGTTGCTCTGTACTTGTGAGAGTGGAATGACAATAAAAGCTGGAGTGAATTCATTTAAAACAGAAGGAAAACAGACGGAAACTGGCTGATAAGACATTCATTGAAAAATCGTAACAGTGAATTCTTAACAAAAGAATCATAATGGAATCTAAAAGGTTGGAACGATTTTTAAACAGTCTTTTACTCATAGTTTATCCTGACTCTCTCGGTTGTGAAATCATTGGGAAGAAAAATGCTCAGTTTCTCTGATAAATTACTCAACAGGAGGCAGAGCCATAAAGCATGAAATCTTATTGGACAATCAATCAGTTAATTTTCCCTTGCCTGAGTCTACTTCCACCAAATTGGCATCTCCACAGTGGTGAAGTCAACTGGCAATTTGGGAGAGAAGTGCTTTGAGGTACTCTGCTTCAATTGAATCAGAGAGCAACATCCCTAGAAAGTGCTCTGAAAAGAAAGGGCAGTACGAGCACAGCGCTGGAAGATGTTTCAAGAGGAAAGGCTCCAAAATAATAACATCTTTACAGCAAGCGTGTTTTGGCTGAGAGCTGCTCTGGCCTTGTGCTGGTAAAAGAAAAAAAACTGCTGTTTCAATTTAATTTGCTCTAAATAAACACAGAAAACCGCTGCATTGAGTTTGCACATTGTTGGCAGTAAATGAGAGCGAGAAGTCATTCTTTTCCATTTGCAGACTTCATTACACAGATGTAATCTCATTCTGATGTTTACCAGCTGCAATTTTAAGGTTCTTTCTCTTGTTGCTGCTGAAGATCTGACTTTGATGGAAAAAGGAAAAGTTTATTAAAGGACTTACTACTGATTTTTGTGGAAAGTTCCTTTACAGAAATGAGTTTTTCTACAATATCCTAATATTGGATAAAGTATCCGTTTATTTATTAATGAACGGCCAAATATTAATATTAAACTTGGCTTGCTTTAGATTTAGAAAGGATTTCAACTTGTGATGGTTTTTGCTCATGTACCATCCTGAAATGGCACTTTAAGGACTCAACGCCTCATTTTCACCAGTAGAAGTCAATAGAAAGGCCACACAGCTATACTGTGACACTGGGTGTGTGTGTGTGTGTGTGTGTGTGGCCATGTCTTTAATACCTGGTGGGGACAATTTCCTAGGAATATGCTACATTTTGGGGACTCATAGGTACTTGTGGGGACCAACAGCTGGTCCCCATAATGAAAGTTTCTCTTGTTGGGGTGGGGGTTCGGTTTAGGACTAAGGTGTGAATTGAGTTTAGGTTAGGTTTAGGGATAGGTATGTGTCGGTAATGGTTAGGCCATATAAATTAGTGGGAAATGAATGGAAGTCAATGGAAGGTCCCCACAAGGATATTGTGACACAACGTGTGTGTGTGTGTTTAGAAGATGAAAAACAAAAGGAGGTTTACCAGTATGGTGGAGACGATGAGAGATCGGTTGGACAACGAATCAGAGACATTAGTCGTCTTTCCCTTCTGGTTGTCAGTCATATTCAGGCCACTTGCTGGGTCCCAGGTACCAATCTGTAAAAAGGAAACAATATTTTGGTCCCGCCTGAAGAATCTTAAGCAATAAGGCTGAAATAATAAGTGTTTTAGAAAGTTATTATTTGGAATTTTTATTATAATATTTAGAATGTATTGATTCAAGTACAAAATATTCTCAACATTTAGTGCCAATTTAATATCACAACAAGGTGAAATCCATTTTCGAACCTTCAAATTGCACAGAACTATTTTTTACAATCCTTTTTTATGGTAAAACTTATGACTTTGTGTAATTACAATACATAAAGATTCAAATGTTGTATTTGTTCACTGCAAATATTTAAATCTAAATAAGTAGTTTAGATTTTTTCTTCAATTGAGGAGGTAATTGAGACACTTTGCCAATGGAACAAGATCATTTACATTTAAAATAAGAAAAAAAAACTGCATTGTCTTATTTTAAGTACATACTATCTAATTATCTTATTTTAAGATTAAAAATACTCATTCCATTAGCTAATGATCCTATTAACCTACTAAAATGAATCAAAAACACAGTTGATTTAAGACATTTTTACTTATTTGTAGATTGTTTTTTGCAGTGTTTGTTTTACAGTGCACCATCCTTAATGCGTTTTTTGCTTCTATCCAATTCAGCTCCTCATAGAGATGATCTGTGTTGCTCCCTGAGGAAACAGTTGACAGCAACGTGACCACTAAACCCTTTCTCGGCAGCTTTCTTCAGACACCCACGGGGAGCACGTTACAGCTGATCTAAGAATCTGATCGGCGTCGTAGCCTTTCGAGGGCTTGACCAGTGGGAGGGAGGAAAATACACGCTTGAGAAGCAAAGAGGAAGAGGACAGCAAAGACATCAAATTATGCCTCAAGGCCTTTCATGTTCTTTCTGAACTCTTACTTTAAATTGTAAAGTCAGGCCTCTTTAACACCATCTGCTGCTCTTCAAGCAGCCCCTCAACCCAGAGCATTACCGGAGGGGACCGCAAACACTCCAACCCACAGCCGCCACACGCTCCGCAGGGTGATCTCGCTGAGTGCTTGAGATGGTCTTTGCAATTGCAAATCAATCCTTTAATTCAGGTTTCATGAGGCTGGAGGGCTTTTGAATGAGTTTTTATTAATGGAGTAAATTATTCAAGGCGGTTCGTGCACGCATCGTACATAGACCAAAGGTCAGGAGATGCTGAGAGGAATGCACCACTGAGAATAATGAAGTTTAAAGTACTTGCAGTTCCGCGAGAGGATATTATTTCTATCAGTTGCATTAGCTGCTGTCCTCTTTTGAAGATCTTGTCAATGTTTGAGTACCAAACAGTGCAGTTCTACTTATCTCTGGAAAGAAGGTGCTCCTCTGCATAGGGGAACTTAAACATAACTGAGGAAGATACGTTGTGATGGTAACAGACGTATGTTGTTGTTGTTTTGAAGCCAGACACAAATAAAATGTTTTTAATTTTAATGCTATCCCCTATTGTGTGCTAGAAGAAAATCAACCAGACCTACGAGAGTAAATTCAGCTGTTTTAGCCGGGAATAGGGAAAAGTTTGGAAGAGAGATAAAAAAAATAGTGTACTGCACTGCAAAATAAGTTTTTTTCTCTTCAAATAAGCGCATTTTTTCTTGAATTGAGGAGGAAATGTAAAAAAAAAATTATGGTTTAATAGATTTAAATTTAAAATAAGAAAAAAAAACAATGGCATTGTCTTATTTCAATTGCATGTTATCTAATTATTTTATTTCAAGAGAAAAAAATACTCATTCAATTCAGTTTATTTCTGTAGCTCCAATTTGCAACACGTCATCTCAAGACACTTTACATTTCAATTCAGATCACCCAGTCAGATTGATTCAAAGTTTTCCATCTAAGGAAAACCAGCTGATTGCATCGACTCATTGACTCTTCAGCAATCCCTCACACTCAGCATGCTTGTAGCGACAGTGGAGAGGAAAAACTAATTTTTAACAGGAAGGAACCTCCAGCAGAACCATTGGCAGATCATTTTATTTACCTACTCAAATTAAGGGTAAATTTTACTTAATTTGAGAAAGTGTTACTTATTTCTAGATCACTTTTGCAGTGTGTTATCAAGAATGTTACAAGTAGAAAAGAAATGGATTACACACTCCAAAAAAGATCTAGAAATAGGCAAAAAGTGAGAAAAATGAAGTGTATTTACACTTAGTTTGAGTAGGTAAATAAGATTTACTCATAAAATAACATAATTAGATAAAATGCACTTGAAATAAGACAATGGATTTTTCTTATTCTAAATGTAAATTGTCTAATTCCATTGGCAAAAAGGCTCACTTGCAGGGCTAACTGGACTAAACGGGGCTACTCCGGCAGGTAGCTGCTGTCAGCAGTGCATTTTCCAGGGAGACGATTGTGCCTTGTAGGAGAAACAGGAACAGGTCAACAGTTTTAACATCATTGAAGAAAAGCAGATGGTTCTGCTGGAGGTTTCTTCCTGTTTAAAGGTAGTTTTCCTCTCCGCTGTCGCCACATACATGCTTGGTGTGAGTGATTGCTGAAGAGTCCCTGATGTGATGCAATGAATTGAATTGATTTTTTTCTGTAAAGTGCCTTGAGATGAAATGTTAATAATTGGCGCTATATAAATAAACTAAATTGAATTGAATAAGTCTTAACTCTTTTATTCTATTATCTAAATCATTCACTTAAATGCAAAGACTGAGAAAAAATCCTAGCCATCTCTTCTTGTGAATCTTTGACATGCATCAGACAGCATTTGCTTGAGTATCTGAATTTTTTCGGGTTGCATCAGATTTCATTTAGCATTGAAAGCAGTTAGAACTAGCAGGACTGAAGGGATAAAAAAAAAAACATTTCAGTCTGAGCTTTAGGCATTTCATTCTCACTGTCAGTGACTTTAAATCTAATTATGAATTCCAGAAAAATTATCTCATTTAAGATAGAGTTGTATTTTATAACTTTTATAAACAAACAATGAAGCCAGAAATGTTTTAGCTGACTTGGCAGTATGCTCACTGAGCCGATTAAAATCTCCAGCATTTCACACAGTTTTCCAGAGATAGTCTATGGAATAAAGAAGTCTGGCTATAAAGAGGTTAAATCTGAGTTGAAACTGTTTTTCTATCAATATGTCAATGATTTCATCCTACCAGATTTCCACGTTCATAGTAACTCAATGCTAACCTAGCATCCTTCCGTTAAAACCTAAGGTTTAACTAATACCCTTTTCCCACTGGCTGAAAAGCTCCGTTTAAACCCAGGAGCAATGGACTTTTAGTGGCACTGGGAACAACTCACTGACGCCTGTCTACCCGGGTCAAATAACTTGGCAAGAGACCCACGTTAAAATTGCCTCGGCTCTGATCAGCAGGCTGTGGGAACACCAGAACCGGGTTGACACGCACAATTACAGTTTACCATTGAATGCAACTTACGGACGTCAACACACCTTCTGATCTAACAAGCAGAAACAGCCCTGTTTCCATTAGATAAACATGGAGCAGCTCTGGTAACTGACTACGCCCTGGCTTTCTAACAAGCTGCTCTCCATTGTTTACTTTCCTGATTTCTGGTGACATCATCAAAGCTAACCGGGCATGATGGTGTCACTAGAAACGCGGCGGCGGGGGGACACAGCTTGCCAACAGGGGGTTAGACTCGCTCTTTTTTGTTGGTGGGGAAGGGAGCCAAAAGCTGAGTGTTAGCGGGTCGAACCATGTTTGAAAAACAAATGATGACCTGCTATTTTCAGTGGGAAAGATGCTACATAGTTGTTAACAATAACTCAAGATGATATCCAAGCATCCTCTTCTCAAAGACTATGGTGATGTTGTCTACATGCATGCTGCCTCTAGTACTCTCCACCTGTTAGATTCTGTGTACCATAGTGCTCTGCGCTTCCTAACTAACTCCTATTCCCGTACTCATCATTGTACGCTGTATGAACTGGAGGCTGGCCGTCACTAAGTCTACGTAGACAACTTCATTTGTATATTTTTTTCTATACAAGGCCATGTTGGGTAAACTGCCGGCATATTTATGCAATCTCCTCAAGCTAAATTCCAGCCATTTTCATCTCCGTTCCACCAGGTGGCGCTCTTACCAGGTTCCAATGGTTTTTACTGAGCTGGGGAAGAAATCCTTCTCTTACTTTGCTCCATGGTCCTGGAATAATTTGCAAAACTTGCTCCATCTAAATGATCTATTCCCATTGAATGAATTTAAGGCCATGTTAAAATGTAACTGCCCTATGTGATCTGTCTTTTCCTCTATGTGAGATTTTGTCTAAGTTGTATTTCTGTTTGTATTTTAACTGGTGTGCCGTCTTGGCCAGGTCTCCCTCGAAAAAGAGATTTCAATCTCAAGGGACTTCCTGGTTAAATAAAGGTTAAATAAAAATAAAATAAAAGACTAGAGTTTAACATACAAACATACTGGAGGATAAATGGTGAGTTAGATCAACATTGGATTCTATACAGGGTTATCAAGGTAGACGCAGATAAACAGTAAATTATGCCACATTGTTAGAGTTGTTTTAGGAGGTTTTGCAATGTTGATCCCCTTTACAGTTCTCCACTATTTTGTTTTTTTAACTATCAAACAAAATCAAAGGAATTGATGTATGGAGATCAAATCCGGATCATTTGAGTTCTGATGTCAATAAAAAGCTGGAAATGATTCAGTACTGAAGCCTTTCTGTGAGGTGAATAGATTATTGGATGTTCATCTATAATTATTCTGTAGTGGAGGAGCCCTTTTCTGCACACTGATCATTGAACTTTGTATTCATTGTGTTTTATGAAACAGCAGATTCGCACACAAACAAATGAGGAAAATCCGAACCTTTTCGAGACCGTCTTCTTTAAGGCTAATAACATCGAGGTCAAAGTCTGTCCTCAGGCCGTTGGTCCTGTTGAAAGAGATTCTTCCAGTGAGGCCATCCCAGTGAGCCTGCAGGCAGAAGAAGTGAGACACAGCTCATCAGAGGAGACAATAAACCAGCGACATCAAGTCTGCATCTCTGCTCTCAGATAGCGCTTTGATGGCAGCCTTGAAAGAAACAGCCCAGAAGTCTTCCGCTTCTTCGTTTGTGTAAAGCCTTTTCTGTTCGGGGTGTCTAAATAGACTCAGAGTCTGTGTTTGTGACAGTGGGAAAGCAATTACCCTATCTTTACAGATATTTAGAACTGTGATGGAATACAGTGCAGCATGAAAGTGACTCACAACAGAGATGGCTTCTAGCCTGGCGTGGAAAATCATCACAGTGATTCTAGCAGACGGGAGAGAATGCACTTCAGGGCCCATTTTTGAATCAGTGAGTGGGAGAAACAAATCTGGAAGTTCCTCTACGAGCTACTCAAAAACCTTTATGACACTGCAGTGGGTGGCTCCGTGTCTGAGTGCCACTTCATTTCTGGAAGTACTGTGGAATATCTGAGGATGCATTACTTTAGCGGAGATCACTGGAAGATTGTATTGCTTACTAAAAAAGAAGAAAACATCCACTTTAGGTCATCATCAGATAATGATTCTCATGAATTCATATTATTATTTCCATATCTCTATTTTCCTGTTTTCTGACCTATGCTAAATTTAATTTAATTGATCTATGAATCCTTTATGACATTATTATTATTTGAAAAGACACTTTCGAAATTAATTGACCTAAGAGCTTTTAATTGTATGGAAGCCGGGAGCGTTCATGTCTCTCCCATACTTTTTCATGGTGTTTTTCTCAAGAAAACAAGTTAATTTTCTCATCTAATGATAACAAAAGCGTTTTTTTTGTGATAACGAGATAATTGGTGTGTGTTAAAACTGATAACATCCTTCAATAACATAACAGCAGGACAGGATTCATGGCAGCCTATGTGCAATCCAGTAAATAATCCTGTGTTTAACTTTTAGGTAAAGAGACGACGTTGTTGGTTTGATGATTTGCTTCCACTTCTGATTCATAAGCATTTAGACCTATGCGGTGTTCACTCACCAGGTGTTTTCTGAACAGGCCTGATGTTATGTCTGTAAAAGCTGTAAAATGCATTAATCCCCAAACCAGCCAGATTTTCATTAAAAAACAGTCACATTTATTTTTACCGTATTCCATGCAATCATACACAACAACCTGACAATGAGTCAAAAGAAAAAGAAAGTAAAAAAAACTAAAGATTTCGCCCGCATGCGGTACTGCGACTCCACATTATGGGCTCCGCAGGCATGGATGGACTGGGAATCCTGGGCTGTTGGCCAGCCTCATTCATTACTCAGACAGGTTAATCATCTCATTATCTCAAGAAATCAATAACTGTTTTCTGGAGATAACAACATAATTATCCTGTTATCTCGAGAAAATATTTAATGGTTTAACCGTGATAACGAGATACTTATGTCATTACCTCGAGAAGACAAAGGAAAAAAAAAAGTTGCGTAGGACCGCTCTGGGCTTCCGTATAATTGACACCATTTCTGCCCATCTTTCCCTTAACAGAGGTAAGTCCACCTGTAGTGTGTTACATGGTTCCTTGGTTCGTCTGTGACCTCCTACAGCCATTCTCAATGCACACCTGAGATAATCTGACAGCGAAGGTTCACTGCCTTTCCATTTCTTTCTTCATTTGTGGATAATTGACTCTTTCTGTGGTTCACTGAGCCCCAAAGCCTTAGAAATGGCTTCGTAACTCTTTCCAGGTAGACAAATGTCAGGGATTTGGTTTCTTACATTTCTGTAAAATGGGGTTTGGTGTATTGCTTATTTAGGATATGTTGTCAACAATCTCTGTTTACATAACTTCTATGTTCCTCAGGTCAGGAAGTCATCAGCTTACATCTGTTCATTTATGATTTCACAGCAGAGGTAATTTTATAGATTTAAAGAGTATTGTTTCCCCCTTATGGAAATTAACCAGATCTGATGATGCAGTAAACCTCTGCCATTTCGGGTAAACAAAACCTTTGGTCTGTTATAGGAGCACCGTGAAGTCTGGTTAAAAAAAAAGAATTTTGATTATGTAACATATTTCCATAAGAACACCATATTTTCATTTCTCCATTTTTCCATCTTGCCATCCTGATTTACATTCTCCCCTCATCTGGCTCTCTGAGAGCATCTGTGTTGTGTGTGAAGGAGCTGCGTATGCTGAGAGTTGACACCGAATGGCGAGCAGGTAGACTAGGATCTACCTCTTTGATGAGGGCCATGAAGCGATTCCCAAAGCGCCAAGGCTTGTGTCGGTTGCACTGTAATGAACTGACAGTGATCTGCTGAGACTGCTGCACAGCCACGGCCACCACATGCACGGCATCGTACATCAGCGCGGCGTCCGTCTGCAAACAAGACAGGGGAGAAGCAGAAGGTCATTAACATGGAAGAGAGCTCCCAGCAGATCAGCGGGAATATATGCAGAGTGGAGAACATGTTGGTGGATTGGTATCAAAATCAAAGCTTTATTTCAAAGCTCCGTTCTTACATCTTTAGCATGGACAAGGTCACAATGTAGGTAATGAATGTCTCTAGACAATCCGGTCATTTTCTGCAATGATTTAAATGGATTTCACCAATAGTAATACATTTATTATGAGAACAAAAAGTTCAGCCACCTTTAAGTCAACTGTCAAGTTTTTTTTATTTCCAGAAAGTATTGCTGCGTTTTTTTTTGTTTTGTTTTTTTTTTGTTGGGTAAAGGTCTCAAGACCTTGTAAAAAGGTACTTGTATACCAAACGCAAACAGCCACACTGCAAAAACAATCTAGAAGTAAAAATGTCTTATATTAAGTGTATTTACTTAATATACTTTACATTAAGTGTATAAATGTCTTTATAATTATAATTTTTATTTTTTCTGACACTTTTTATGTTTTTGTACGGTGACCTTGAGTGTCCAGAAAGGTGCCTTTTTAAATAAAATGTATTATTATTATTATTTACCCTTAAATTTAGTATGTAAATAAGACGATTTGCCAATAGAGTTATATTTACTGTTGAAGTAGGTTAATTAGATAATATGCACTTGAAAGAAGACATAATACAATTGTTTTCTCTTGTTTTAAAAGTAAATTGTCTTTTTCCATTGGCAAAGTGTCTCAGATGACAGCTCACTTCAAGAAAAAATGTCCTTATTTTAAGAAAAAATGACTTATTTAGATTTCAATACTTTGCAGTGCAATTTTCAGCATGGTTTTGCCTGCCGTTGGCCGCTTGACATTTCACTTTTCCTTCACTTGCAGTTTGCCCAAATAGCGCATTTCACTGCATCGCCAACAGAAATGGCGTCTATGGCATGCTCTTTAACATTCAATCCCTAAACTGGGTATTAATTACTGATGTATGTAACATTATCTGATTGTCAAGACTCCTGTCTCTGTGTTTGTGTTTCTGTGTTTGTGTCCCTTCCTCCACCAGGAGGCGCCTGGTTCTGGTCCGCCTCCTCACACACCTGTTCATGGTTTCCTCATTAACGGACCGTTCTTTAGCTGCTGGCTGCCACTACCTTGACGCCAGAGTGTTTGCCAGTTTTGGGTACTCTAGCCAAGCTGAGTTTTGCTGAGCCAAACTGAGTTCTTGTCAACCTGAGTTTTAACATTGTTTTCGTCTTTACCTCTCGGCAGGAAGTCATCCTGCAAACTGGATTTTTCGGACCCTCTCTCCCTGGAAGGATCAACTGAGGTTCAAACTGAGCTGGGGTTACAAACAGGAGGATTTAACCATCTTTCCCCAAGAGATTGTTTGAGCTTCACACTGAGAAAGGGATTCATCTCCACTACGACCCGTTCAAGTACCGCAGGAAATCAGAGTGGCAGTTAGCTTCTCTGTTCACCTACAAACAGCCGCATCCTGGGTAAACCCTGTCCACCCTCCACCGAATCAGACAAACACTGGAACTACAGCATACAGACTGGAGTCTAGGATTCAACAACTTCTCTGGAAACGTGAGTCAGCAACCAAATCCTCTTCTCCAAGTTCACGAATCAAATTTCCCACTGAGCCTGAACTAATCGCTGTGTCTTCCCCTCACTTTTCAGTTCCGGTTGTGCAGTGTTCAGAGCAACACATCTCTCTGCATTATCTCTTGAATAAAACCTGTTAAACCTTTTCTCCTGGTCTCCCTGTTTGGTTTTCAGCATTTGGGTCTGAACTTTAAGTAAAAATCATGACACTGATTAGAATTTGACTTATCTGTTATTCCGTTTCACTGCTAAGATGCAAACAATGTTAGCCGTGCATGTTATAGGGTTTGTTATTACAGATATCTGCATTAAAGCTGCAGATGTCTGCTACTCTTATTGTACCCTGATAACAAATATCTGTAATTCCATTTTATATTTGCCACAATTTTGTTGGAAAATATCATCAAATGAAGATATCTGGATTGGCCTTTCTTTATGTTGTGGTCGGGAAATTTAGTTTCTCTTATTTCATATATTAATTTATGCTATTTACTCATTATAAAAGTTTTCACTCAGTGTGTTTCACATGCAAGGCCACGTAATTCTCATTTGTGAGGGTGTTTATAGACAAGAACTACCTTCTTCCCATAACAAACCAGATCCTTTCTCAAGGTTTATTCATAACATGTTACTGTTTAACTAAACTGTCTGTAATTTGTTTTGACTCTGACTACTTGTTATTATTGTAAGTAAGAGGGAAGAAACGCTGCCCAATCAGAACAGGGCTGATTAGCGTGCAATAAGGGCCGTATGATGAACTGTTCTCTCTTTGCAAAGATAAAAATAAAGTGCAGACTGAGTGAAATCCATCGATCTTGGTTTATTTAACTGGAGTAAATAGTGGAATACTTTTTTCCCACTAAAATGTCTTGAACTGAATTTGAGATTTTCAAAGTGACAATATAGATGTCCACAACTGAATTATGACTCGTTAAAATTATATCTTCATTGTATGTTAAAATGACTTTTTTAAATGTAATATTACGAAATTTGAAATGACATTGTGGATATCTGAAACTGGAATCATAGACAGCCACAATGTACTTTAGATGCCATAACATCTTTGAAATAAATTTAGCACTGCAAAAAATCTAAATCTAGATAAGTCATTTTTTCTTAAAATAAGTGCATTTGTTCTTGAATTGAGGAGGTAAAAGAGACATTTTACCAATCGAACAAGACAATTTACACTTAAAATAAGAAAACACAACTGAATTGTCTTATTTCAAGTGCATATTATCTAATTTTCTTATTTTAAGAGTAAAATTACTCATTCCATTGGCAAACTATCTCATTAACCTACTCAAATTAAGGGTGAATACACTTAATTTAAGAAATTTTTAGTTATTTCTAGATCGTTTTTGCAGTGGAGATATTTGAAATTGCAGATATCTTTTAAACTCATTCCGTCTAATCAAATCATAATTAGGGAAATCTTGAGTTATAAATCTCACTGGGCAAAATGACATTACAGATATCTGTAATTGCATCAGAATTGATGCTCGATGCCAATGCCACTGCTGCAGCAAGGGGAAGGCTGGAGTGATTAGTCATCATATTTGCATCTCCTTTCATGGAAACTTGAATTACCTGATGAAAGAAAATGGATTAAAATGTGACTGACGGAGCAACCTTTGCATATTTTCTGAACATGAACACATTTCTTATCTATGTATGTCCTGAAAAAGTTACATTACCATACATATTCAATAAAGAAATTAAGGTTTTGCATCATTAGTGTCACTCTGTACCCCAAACCATCTAGTCGATCCTTGGTGCACCGTTTCATTGGAATAACATGGAAATTCACTCAACCCAAACAAGTCCTGACTCAATAACTTCAGTAATCTCTCTAGATCCCACATCAGGGTTTTGGTGCGGGTGGGTTTGGGGTGCCTGTCCTGTGGCGAAATATAGTACATTTTATGTGTATGAGGGTATGTGTGTATTTATTGGGAGTAGGGAGGAGAATCCGTAAAGAAATCCACTTCTGCTTCTGTCTCCTTGAACCCCAGTGGGCCTCAGCAGATGGCCGCTCACACTGAGCCTGGTTCTGCTGGAGGTTTCTTCCTGTTCAAAGGGAGTTTTTCCTCTCCACTGTCGCTACAAGCATGCTTAGTGTGAGGGATTGCTGAAGAGTAAATGAGTCGATGCAATCAGCTGGTTTTCCTTAGATAGAAAACTTTGAATCAATCTGACTGGATGATCTGGTGAACTGGAAAGTGACCTGAGATGACATGATGTGAATTGGAGCTATAGAAATAAACTGAATAGAATTGAAAATTGAATTAAAGACAAAATAGTTTCCACATCTCATCAGAACAAAACTATTTTATGGGCCCCAAGGTTGAAAATATGGTCAATATTTAAAAAGATGATTTCTGTTCTGATATAGAGCTTAGTTTAAAATTCATAGAGAATTTTACATATAAAGTCTATAAACATGTTTTATTTATAATTGTGATTTAATATTACAGACTTGTTCCATGTTGGGATGAAGTCCAAATAAATGGGGAGTAGTATTGCAGAAACAAGAGGATGATTCGCTACTTTTTAAAGTTAACTAGAAGTTGAATGAATGAAGAAAATCCACTTCTGGATAATAGTGAATTTATGCTTTAATCCAATTTACAGAGCTAATACTGTAAAAAAAAAATAAATAAAAAAAAATAAGATATTAACAGTACAAACAACATCTTGTCAATAAGAAGGACTTTCTCTCCAGCTGACAGATTGTGTGTTTCAGTTAGCGGCACACATGGACACAGATGTCAACAATGTCAGAGCGTCAAAACGAAAAATAATAAAGTCAATACTTATAATGTTAGCATTGTTTTCAGTTGCTAAATGTCTCAGCTCACTGACCATTGTAGGTAGCCATGTTTGTTGTGACTGTGGCCGGTGGCTGCTAACCAACCAATGGGCAGATGATGACGCTCTAAGACATGCCCCCTACTCATTTACATAATGAGTTAGAAATGCAGACAGAAATGTAAAAAAAAAATAAAACAGACAAAAATATTATAACACGCACATAAAAAAATACATAAAGAAATAAGTAATAAATGAATAAAGTTGAAGATTATAACGGCAAATTAATGAATAAGGTAATTATTACAAAGGCGAATAAACAATGAGGCTAATTAAAAGTGATATATACATTTATGTCTGACTGTGTAATTTATTTTCTACTTGCATTTATTTGTTTTTTATTTTTGGGGGACAATTAATTGTATGCTTATTTATTTTTGTATTTATTTTTAATTATTGCAGGATGGGTCCTCCATAAGTATCAATAAAATATTAAAATGAATAATATTTATACAGTAGTTGGCATTCATAATGCCCTTCCCAGTCAAACGCCAGCCGGATGGCAGCCC